TTCAGATTAGCTTATTTTATTTGACTAGCCTTTGACCATACTATTTAGAGTGCGATTTGTGGCTGGGATATTAGAAAGTTATTGTTAAAATGATTAAACATAAAACATTTGTTTTTAAATCACTCAACTTGACAGTGATCTCTGTACGGTTTTGAAGTTTTCTTCTCCCAATTTTAAAGGCAAACTGTATGGGCGAGGAGCAACAGACAACAAAGGCCCAGTGCTAGCATGGATCAATGCTGTTAGCACCTTCAGAGCCCTGGAACAAGTAGGTGGCCAGCTGTGCGAGGGAGAGGGGTTGATGACTGTGACAATAGCAACAACAGGCTTTGAGTCACTTCCTGTGTCCTCAGGAAGCTGCAGTGTGTTACACCCAGCAGCGTTTGGAGGTGCAGGTTACAGTCCGCACATCGATTTTACAGATGAAAAGAGGAAAGCCAGGGGAGCTCAGGGAAGTTACTCAGGGTGGCCCAGCAAGTGGCAGCGATCATCCTCTGAGCACGGATTCCTCTGCCAGCCACATGGGAAATAAAACTCAGGCCATGTGTTGCACATCTGTAGTATGGCTCTGCTGGAAGGGGTGATGGGAGGATATAGAGATTCAAGGCCAGCCCAGGCAAAAAAGTTAGTGGGACTGTATCTCAAAAAACAAGTTAAGTGTGGTACACATCTGTAATCTCAGCTACATGAGAGGTGGAGGTGGGAGGATGGTCTGAGGCTGGTCTGGGGCAAAATGCTCCAGAATATCTAAAAAATAAACTAAAGCAAAAAAAAGGGCTGGGGATGGGATGAGTTCAAACCCCAGTATCACAAACAAAAACCCTAAAACAGAACATGTCAGAAACTATGATGAGCCTGTGACTAAGTTACTTTCTTCTGTGATTTTTCTTTTTTAATCCTTCATCTTGTTTTCTTCCCTTCCCTTTCTTGTTATCAAAAGCATGGTTTTGGTAACAGAGACAAATGTACTTGCTACTTTGCTGATCAAGGCAGATACGTCTGCTACTGACTTTCTGTCTAATCTTTAGGTCTCTTTCCTCCGATCCCAGGAGTTTTTGTTTTTTTTCTCTTTCTTTTTTGGTGCTGGGATCGACCCAGGGCCTCACGCATGCTAGGCAGCGCTGTACCACGAGCTACATCCCAGCCCCCAGGAGTTTTTCTTAGTTATCCACTTAAGAGTTGTGGAAGAAAGCTGGGGCAGCTCTGGGGAGAGGGCCCACTTCTCCAGTCAGCAGAGGAATTATTTGGTCTAGGTTTACATCTTTAACTGTCTCTTACCTTGTTCTCACAGGTTTTTTGTCCCCATCTTATCCTTTCTTTTCTGCTCAGCAGTGTGTTTAGACACCCAGGGAAGATTGAATCCAGCTGCACAGCTGTAGGCAAGTGACTTAACCTCTCCACACTTGGATTCTGTTCTGTGTAAAAGAGTGCATTGATTTGGTGGCCAGGTTTGGAGGAGTGTGTGTCTCTACCTACTTCCATTTCACCCAGAAGTGGCCTGTCTAGATCAGACTCAAGCCCAGTGAGGAAGCCTGGCCCTTCACTTCCACACCTTCCTTGTCCCCAGTCAGGGGCATGGTAGCCAGTCCCAAGTGCAGGGAGACTTGTGAGGGGAGGAGGCAGCTTTCTGGCTAGGAAGGGGTGAGTGGAATGGGGGAAGCACAGACAGTCACTGTGCCTCACTTCCCAAGGTCCTACCCAAGGGCAGCCAAGGCTGCTGCTCATTGGCACAGGTACTCTGTGAGAGGTCCTAGGCAGAGATCCTGGTCCTCAGGGATGTGCTGAAATGCCTGCATTCCAAAAAGCTCTGCAGAGCTCTGCCACCCAGCTGCCTCTGCCCACACTCAACTTACTAGGGGTCCATTATGGGACATCACTCAGTAACGGTCACAGGAAGTGGGAAGCCAGCAACTTTGACACACAAGTTCAAAGCAGTTAGTGTGATCATTGTTCCATGTGGTATGATGACAGCAGGATGGCTTTGGGTTGCCTTTGTGAATGGTGGGACCTGCAGGGAGTTGGATAGTTGGTTCCAAACTTGACCTTGCAAAGTATTAGCTCTTCATGTGCAGAAGGATTTTGTGGAGCTAAACTTAAAAACAGCCTTCCTTTTTCTAGTCTTAGCTCCATGGATAGAGGCACTAGGCATTTTTGACAGTACATATTTAAGAAGGAAATGGGCAGTGGTACCCCCCTTCCTCACCCTTGCCCATGCAGAAGACTGTGGGAAGCAGTGCTCCCTCCCAAGAGAGGAGTTTGATCCAGCATGTCATCTCACCTGTCCTAGGGGAGCTGCCAGAGCCAGGGTGCTGTGTCATAGGATGGTGAATCCAAGGCTGTGGGAGGCATCCCTGTCCTGCTGAGGATTCCAGGCTTACATGTTCTTACTGTTATTAATACTATTATTATTTTGGTCATACTGGGGGTTTGAACTCAGGGCTTCACCTTTACTAGGCAGGCACTCTACTACTTGAGCCATGCTCCCAGCCCCAGGCTTAGACCTTAGATGGTGCTTCTCCCAAATGTTGCTCATCACAGCCGACAGGACTGTTTCATCATATGCCAGGGACTTCTCTGGGGAGTTTATTTTCTCCTGAGACATAAGCCAATGAGAAGGGAGTTAACTACTTGACTCAACTCCTTTATCTCACGAAGAGAGACAGCTCAGTAAATCAGGACGTGTTTCTGGCTAGGTCCTGTTGATCAGTATAAAGCTGTCTTCTTACTATGGCACATCCTTAACTAAAGAGCCCTGAGTGTTTAATGTAGCCTTGGCTCTCTCCCCTCACCTATCTTTCTTCTTCCTTTTTTCCTTCCTTCCTTATCTGTGGTAACCAATATTTATAAGAAAATTCCTATACAAAGTCAAAATCTGTTTTGCTTTTAAAATTTCAATTCTGAATATTACATAATCACAAACAGGACAGAAGAAATACTCACTGCCTTTGGACCGGTCTCAGTGTCTCTGAGCCTCATTTCTTTCCTCAGCTGTGAACTACAAATGAGAATTTCTACCTCACAAGCTTGTTGAGAAATTAAATGAGGAAACATCTGGCAGCATGGTATGGTGGCTCCCAGTACTGGGGAGACTGAGGCAGGAGGATCACTGGTGTGAGACCAACGTGGGCTACATATTGAGAGACCCTGTCTCAAAACAAACAAAAAAATGAAAAAGAAACATTTGCAAAGGTACCAGACATCTTTGAAGAATCATTTCTTCTTCCTCCTTCCATTGATCTTTTCCTTCTTGCCTACAGAGCACTTAAACACACCTCACTGGATTATCTTACCAATAGGAAGATATTAATATTAATTAATTAATATTAGTACTCACATTTCATCAATAGAAAATGAAGGACCTGGAGGTGATATGAAGCACCTGGGGTATTGAGGAACAGAGTGGAGCTCAAATGCATAGCTGACTGCTGTCCAGTTGTCCTCCACTGGTTTGGTTTATATTTTATTAAATGTGATTTGCCAGAAAATGCTTAAGATTTCCAACTACATCTCAACAATATGTGCTCATTAAATGTTAATAAAGAACTTTTGAATATTAAGATTTCAGCTGTGCTTCCAAAGACCCACAGAAGTGCAGCTGACACGTGAACAAATCATTACCCAGTGACCCTGTCCAAATGGTGACTAACATTACTCACTTTCTAATACAGAATCTCTCCTCATCCTGTACTTGTTGATTCGTGGTGACAACCCCTCACCAGGCCTGATCGCCAGGCTTGTGCTATGTTGATTATACATGCATAATTGCTATTAGAGTCCTGTATGTGTTCTGTGCTCTAGAAAAAGACCTTGATCTCTCCTCTTAATGTGGGTTCAAAGACAGGAAGTTATAAATTATACAGACAAAAAAAAAGATCAAAAACTGGATGGGAAAAGAGTCATGTTGTAAAAATTTTAAAGGAGCTGTTCTGTGCTTAATATTAACTAGAGAAAAACTCCAGTTCCATTTCCTTTAAGATCAAAGTCCTTGAAAAAGTTAAAAGGCAGATTGAAATCATAGCTGAAAAGTAACAGATACTTGAAATAAAAGTTTTCCTCAGGCTTAACAATCTTTCAAAGGAAAAAGTTCTTGTTTATCATGCCCAGAATTATGAGGTCGGAAGAGCCATTTGCAGTTGAGTAATCTTTCTTCAGAAATTCTCTTTGGGGGCCTTGGTGTGGTTCAAGTGGCAGAGTACCTTCCTCCCAGGCAGAAGCCCCGAGTTCAAACACCACCATCCTTTTGGGGATATGGAGGACAGTATTTCTTCTGTAGCAGAGGAAAGCCTTGTGGTGTTCCTATCCCAAATGCCCGGTCGTTCCATTAAGTGTATGGGCCCAGGAGTCTCTTCACTGGACTTTATTTTTTTTTTTTTCTCAATTTAACTTTTATTACCCCCATCATGGTATGTAGGGTGTGTAGGCAAAAGCTTTCTGTCAGCTACTATATGAAGATAAGCACTGCAGTAACTCATGTGATCCAAAATGGGCAAAAGCAAAAGACTAGCTTCCCCTCAAGAAGAAAAACTTCAGACCTACGAAAAGGACAACAATACTAATAAAAAAAATTGTATTTACTTAGAAGCATTCAGAATGTCAACAAAACAGCTGCAACTTTTTTTTTTGCAATTACAGAGTGGTATTCAGTTAACAGAACAAATATTTGACATAAGCTCCATCAGACATAACTAAAGATGAAAAACTATTTCCCCCATATATAACTAAATTGTGCGCTGTACCAACAAGAACCTGCTTTAAATTTCCATGCCAATTTACACCCCATACTGTACCAGGCAAGGTTAGTGGCTATTGAAAATACCACCAGGACAGGGCTATCTAAAGACACATTCGGTAGTGTGTTAACTATACAAAAAAGACACTGTACAGTTTAAAAACAAATCTTACACAGCCTTACATTTCAATTTTTTTTTCTTTAAAAGGAGTGAGTTGTGTACAGGGGGGTTAAATGCTTTATAGACAAGAAAAAACTGCGCTAGAACCAACTTATTCATCATCATCATCTTCTTCTTCATCTTCATCTTCTTCGTCTTCCTCCTCTTCCTCATCCTCTTCGTCCTCCTCATCTTCCTCCTCTTCCTTCTTTTTCTTGCTCTTTTCAGCCTTGACAACTCCCTTTTTCGCTGCATCAGGTTTTCCTTTAGCTCGATAGGCAGCAATAGCCTTTTCATACTTTTCCTTCAGCTTGGCTGCCTTCTTTTCATAAGGCTGCTTGTCGTCTGCAGCAGTGTTGTTCCACATCTCTCCCAGCTTCTTTGCAACATCGCCAATGGACAGGCCGGGATGCTCACCTTTGATTTTGGGGCGATACTCAGAACAGAACAAGAAGAAAGCCGAAGGGGGCCTCTTGGGTGCATTGGGATCTTTGAACTTCTTTTTCGTCTCCCCTTTAGGAGGAATATAAGTTTTCATTTCTCTTTCATAACGAGCCTTGTCCGCCTTTGCCATGTCTTCAAATTTCCCTTTCTCTTTAGCAGACATGGTCTTCCACCTCTCCGAACACTTCTTAGAAAACTCTGAGAAGTTGACTGAAGCGTCGGGGTGCTTCTTCTTGTGCTCCTCCCGGCAAGTTTGCACGAAGAATGCATATGATGACATCTTGCCTCTCGGCTTCTTAGGATCTCCTTTGCCCATCTTTAGTTTTTTTCCTCAGCGAGGCACAGAGTCGCCCAGTGCCCGTCCGGCTCTCACTTGCCCCGGCGCTGTCTCTATGGAGCTCAATGTACTGCAATGGCTGTGAGAGCGGGAGCCAGACGCAGCCTCCTCACTCTCTCCGCTCTGTAACCTTCACTGGACTTTATCTTGAGCTCTTCAGTCTCAGTGAAAATGGGAGTGTGCATGGCCCGTACCTCCGATGAAGTGATAATTTAATATATCTGTGTCACTCATAAATGAAACCTGGACCATGCACATTGCACAATCTTGTGTTCTGTTGTTATTCTAGGATCTTCCTGTGAATATCAAGTTCATCCTGGAAGGTATGGAAGAGGCCGGTTCTGTTGCCCTGGAGGAACTTGTCACAAAAGAAAAGCATCGCTTCTTCTCTAGTGTAGACTACATTGTGATTTCAGATAATCTGTGGATCAGCCGGACGAAGCCGGCACTCACTTATGGAACCCGAGGGAACAGCTACTTCATGGTGGAGGTACTGGTGGGCGACACACATGGAGAGAAGCATTTAAAACCGTGGACAGGAGAGAGGAATCCATCCTGGGACCTCAGAGAGGGAAACAGGAAGCTCTCAACTGGGACACACCTGAGCAGTCACTGAGAATCTGGGGGTGTGGCTCACGAAGTCTGAAAAATTGGAGTGGATGTGCTTGAGTTGATGGGTTAGTTTTTTTTTAACTGTAGAGAGGATTCCTAGAGGACTGTGACTCACAAACCAAAAGGATTAGGAACTATGGCAGGAATAGCAGCTGACAAGGAGGACTGCCTGGTCAACAGTGGGGATGCTGTAACATTACCATGCATGTGCCTCAGGGGTCTCAGTGGCAAGAGGTACAAGTGCCATGATCAAGGGGAAAAGGAGGAGCACTGACACCCGAGGCTCCTACGATGCACGACGCACGGCCTCGCGTGGGTGTCTTAACTTCCAGGCCTTAGTTTCCCACCTTGAAAGTTGACACAATACCCTTCTCCACCCGCCACAAGTGGCAATCACTGCCTGTTATATTTAGTTCAAGTTTGAAATAGCTTCTTATCCTTTTCTATTCACACAGGCCACCTCTGATAGTGCAAGTTTTTTAGCATCAGTCTCTCCTGGGTAAATAGTTAGCTGCTTGTGGTTGTTTTCTCACATCACAACGTGTAGGCTTATTAGTGGGTGTGACCTTCAAGCTCAAGCAGTTGGGAAACTCAAATGTGGACCAGATGGAAACATCACGCATTCTTAGGGTCTGAAAAACAATGTGTGCCCTTTCCAGGCATGATAATGTGAATCCCAGGGGTACAGGAATAAGACAGTCTCTGCCCCAGGGATTGTACAGCTATGAGCACAGAGACTTAAGGAGATGGTGTGGGAGTGAACAGGAAAACAGGAAGCGGGGGAGATAATCTGGTGGACATCTCTTCCTTAAAAGAGAAGGAAGTGGTCAGTGAGAAGAAGGAGAGATGGAGCAATGGTTGGAGGGAGCATGGAATCTCAGAGAGCCTTCAGGAGGCAGTAGAAAGAGGGAGGTTCAGAGACCTGGTGTGTGTGGGTATGCACATGGGTGTAGGGGAGAGTATTTATGAGAACAAAGCACTGAGGAGGTGGGAGGAGATGTGATTCTGGGCTAAGGTAAGGAATTAGACTCTTCTGCAAGGGTATTGGTTGGTAGAGAGTTAAAAGTGGTGAAGCATCTACTTTTGTTGTTCTTGGCCTCTATTTTTTCTGCTGGGTGGGAAGTAAATTTATTTGCAGAGAAGTGTTGGCTTGAAGTAATCACTTTTAGGGGACAAGTAAGAAGACTAACTAGACCATGAAGTGCCAGGCAGAATGAAGGGTCCTCTCTGTGAAGATGGACACCTGCCCACAGCTGTGCTCAGAAAGGACTGGAGAAGACCCAAGAGTGTCAGGTTGATGTAGGTGAGGGGATTCCCAATGGTATATCCTGGAGAAAGCAGGGAAAAGCACATCAAGATGGGGGAACGCAGATAGGTTGACATGATAAGCAGTAAGTCAAGTGGGGGAAAAATAGGACAATAGGCAGGAGAATCTGGGAAGGGGTAAGGAATTGGTCTTAATGAGGACAAAGAAAGGCCATAAGTTAAAGTGACAAAGAAGGGGGAGAGAAATTGTGGTCAAAAGGCAGTACAGGTGGCTTAAGATTTCCAAAGTGAAAAAATGAAGAACAAGGAAGGTAAAACAGGTCCTGTCCAGGGTGGGTATCAGTGGGAGGGGAGAAGGATAAATGGAGAGGGTGAAGGAAGGTGATGTACTTTGTATGTGTATGAAAACAGAACAATGAAGTGAAATTTGTTGAAATTGTTATAAGAAGGGGAAAAGGAAGGGACAAGGGAATATTAAGGAAGGGGGAGAATTTAATTAAGATACATTATAAACACATATGTAAATGTCACAATGAAAGCCCCCGTACAACTAGTAAATTCTAATAAAAGCTGTAAAAAAAAAAGATTTCAAAAGTGAAACTGTAACCCCAACATTCTTTAGTTAATACTATTGCCTAATGAAATTTGAAGGTCTGAAGCTAAAAGTGATGAATGGAAAACTAGTCTTCCATTAAAGGTGGATAGGAGCAGGGAAAGACAGCTGGGAAGCAGTGATGGGAAGGAAAGAACTGAAGAGACAATATTTTAAAACCCAGTTCATTAGAAACTGATTGGGTGTGGTACACACAGGTGAGACCAACCTGGCAAAGAAGCAATTGCAGGAGAAGACATTGAATTTGTTTCTAGATCTATTGAATTTCAGAAACTAGAAGCACTGTCAACTGGAAGACACTAAAAGCAACCATGGTCTTTTAGGTTTGGATTTAGACAAAATGTCAGACCTACAGGATGACCATTTAAGGGCATGGATGTAGTAAATGGTATCATGTAAGTACTCCAAACTTCGGGTACAGAGGAAGAACCAGACAAGGATGAAACTGTAGGGGTGGGAGGAAGAAAACAGGTTATTTGAAGAGACATCAAAAGACTTGTCCTTCAGGCAACAAAAGAGAATAAAGGGAAGAAAGTTTCTTAGAAACCAAGGAAGGAGAATTTTTCCAGAGAGGTGACCTACACTATGGGATGATCTAAGAGCAAGACAAGTGTTTGAACAACAATAATTTAACCAATGAAGGCCTAATGTTCTCGGATAGATTTGGGGTGGTGGAATAGTTAGGGAATGAAGTCAGTTTCAGGGGGATTCAGAAAAGAGTGGGAGATGAACAGAAAGGTAGGGTCTCCAAGTCATGACTGAGAAACATAAGAAGTGAGGTCACGTCTGGAGGCCACCTACTTGTGTCAGGGGGTCATCTTTCAAGCATGGCTTCTATCATGCAAAAAGCTATCACTGAAAGAATCACAGCAGTAAGGTTTCTTCTCTTTTCCCTGTTTTACAGGTGAAATGTAGAGATCAAGATTTTCATTCTGGAACCTTTGGTGGTATCCTTAATGAACCAATGGCTGAGTTGATCGCTCTTCTCGGTAATATTTTATTTCATTTTCCCTTGGATTCTTTTTTGGACTTTGAACCAGCTCTGAATAAGGTTATAAGAAAAATCATTTTAGCCTTTCCTCCCCCTGTTTGAATGTTTCTTAGCCTTATAGTTAAGTCTGTGTTATTTTTTTCCATGTATTGAAACTCTTTCATTGGATATTGCAGCACATTTGATCACACAAAAGGGCAAGAGTGTAGAGACTGAAAGGATTTGAGAGCAAGAAGTCATCCCTGACGCTCTCACCAAAGCTTCCAGACCTGGAGTGGGAAGACAGTGGTGTTCTCAAGCCAGCTGAACCACAGTTTCCACCTCAGTAGACCTGCAGAATTTTTGACTATAGATAAAACAAAGTGATATCCAAAGAGGAAAGGAACTAAGTAATGTCACAAGACTCCAGCAGCCTTTGTCACTCCATAGACGGAGCAGCCCAGCCCTCCACACACAGGGCTGTAAACCATGGCATGTTCTAGGTGGAAGTAACCAGGTTGTACCCCTGCTCTGCCACAGGCCAGCTCCACAACACTGGACAAGCTATTTAAATTGTCTAGTTTTTGGTCTTTTCTGCAAACATGTATTTGCCTACTGAGGGTATTGAGGTTCCAGTAAGATGATGCATTTGGAATATTTATCACAGGGGCTGGAACACAGAGTGTCCAAGGATAACTAATGGTCTGCCCCAGTGAAGAGAAAGCTCTTATCCTACCCAGAACACCAAAGATGGTGCCAAATATGTCAGCACAGCTGCTTGCTCTCATTTTCCAAGGTTACAGAGGCTCCAGCTGCCACAGAGAGGCCGATGTGCTGGCTGACTGCACTGACAGCAGACCTCTGCTCTTGACCTCCTGTGGGTTGACTGGTGTGTGCAAGCGGATTTTTCTCAGGGAGCCCATTTATCCAGGACTTATCCCCTCAGTAGTTCTCCACATCAGGGCTGTCCAGGGTGGATTCCCCAGAAGCTAAAGAAACTTAAATTTTAGAAGAGGACTTCATATTCAGGAGCCCCCCTTCCATGGTCCTGGTGGGGACACTTTGATTTGACTCACATTAATTTCCTGTACATGTGTGTTATCTTCTAAGTTAATTCTTCTTGATTTAACCTTTTCTCTAGTTCCTGGTCCCCTTCTTCTATTGGCCTCAGTTGCTTTTGAGGTATCTGCTATAGTTTCTCTGCGTTGAGGGCAACAAATGCTATCTATATTTTTAGGTGTCTTACCTATCCTCATATCTCCCTTATGTGCTCTCCCTTGAATCTTGTGATCAAAGTCCAATCCCCTTGCTGTGTTTGCCCTTGATCTAATGTCCACATATGAGGGAGAACATATGATTTTTGGTCTTTTGGCCCAGGCTAACTTCACTCAGAATGATGTTCTCCAATTCCATCCATTTACCAGTGAATGATAACATTTCGTTCTTCTTCATGGCTGCATAAAATTCCATTGTGTATAGATATCACATTTTCTTAATCCATTCATTGATAGTGGGGCATCTTGGCTGTTTCCATAACTTGACTATTGTGAATAGTGCTGCAATAAACATGGGTGTGCAGGTGCCTCTGGAGTAACCTGTGTCACAGTCTTTTGGGTATATCCCCAAGAGTGGTATTGCTGGATCAAATGGTAGATCAATGTCTAGCTTTTTAAGTAGCCTCCACGTTTTTTTCCAGAGTGGTTGTACTAGTTTACATTCCCACCAACAGTGTAAGAGGGTTCCTTTTTCCCCACATCCTCACCAACACCTGTTGTTGGTGGTGTTGCTGATGATGGCTATTCTAACAGGGGTGAGGTGGAATCTTAGTGTGGTTTTAATTTGCATTTCCTTTATTGCTAGAGATGGTGAGCATTTTTTCATGTGTTTTTTGGCCATTTGAATTTCTTGAGAAAGTTCTGTTTAGTTCACTTGCCCATTTCTTTATTGGTTCATTAGTTTTGGGAGAATTTAGTTTTTTAAGTTCCCTATATATTCTGGTTATCAGTCCTTTGGGGCACCATCAAATCTTTAGCAGTCTGTCTCAAGATTGCTAAAGCACAATGGCTATATGGCATTGTTTTCAACTGTATGGCTTAGCTGGGCACAGAATTTCACTTAGCCCCACAATTGCATACTGTTCTGCTAAGGAAGAACCAGATCAGGATTATGAATGGGATGAGAAATCCATGATTTTTACTTTCAGTTATTTCTTTTCTTTTTTCAGTACTGGGTTTGAACTCAGGACCTTGTGTTTGCCAGGCAGGTGTTCTATCACCCGAGCCATACCTTCAGCCCTTCATTAATTTTTTGATATAAGTCAAACTGCCTTGACAAAGTGACTTCTGGATTGTGTCCTCTGTGTGGTCTTTGCATCCTTTGTACAAATTCATAGGGACATGGGGTTGATCAGACAAGCAAGGGGTCTTGCTTGCTGGCACACTGGGCTGGGAAACCCAAACAGCAGGGTGACCCCCATGCTCTATCTTGGGGCCACTGCGGATCACGATGTTAAGGTGGGAGGGGAGAGCTGGCTGTTCCATGTCTTCCCTGCTTGCTGGTAGGTAGTACATGTTCATGAAGAAACTGAGAATAATCCAGAAACAGCCTGCCCCTATGCCGTGTCCTAACCTATTTGTCCTCAGGTCAGAGTCTGCTGACCATGGTGACCATGGTGATTACTAACAGCACCAAATGCCCACGGAGCACCATTATGGAAAGTGCATGCTAGCCCAGTGGGGCACAGAGTGAGGTTAAATAAGTTCTCCGCGTCCAATGAGGCTCAAAACTTAATAGACTGGGGAGACAGTGGAGAGGAGCTGACAAACAAAGCTCCAACCTTCATGGCTTCCTTTCTCCAAACAGTGTACTCCTTGTTTCCTCGAGGCATGAAGCCAGCAAGACCACTGACCTAAGAGCACCTTCAAAAGCATTAAATGTCAGAATTCCAGGGCACACTTGAGCTCAAAAAGGATGCTTCCAGTGGGCACTTCCCAAGGCCGCCAAAGAGGCTGTAGAAAGTGCCTTGTGTTCCAGGAATTGTGATTTCCAATGGAAAGTGAGCATGAGCGGAAAGAATGAACTCTTTTTTTTTTTTTTTATACTAGGGTTTGAACTCAGGAATTCACGCTTTCTAGGCAGGCGCTCTGCCACTTGAGCCACTCTGCCAGGCCAGGAATGAACTCTTAACCTTTGCCACTTTGAGTCCCCAGAATGGCACTTGAAGATGGAAGGACTGACTAGTGCTCCATGGCTCTTCCTAATCAGATTTCTCCGAGAGGGAAAATGGAAAGGAAAATGGGGAAATCATAGTTTTCTTTAGTCAGGATGTATCTGCTGGAATTTCTCCCAAGCTGGTAGTGGGAAAAGTACCTGCATCCTGAGAAAATGGAATCGTGATTTACAATGATGCTGAGAACTAAGGTCCAGGCTGATTACCAGCCATGTGCAGGCAGTGCTGGGAGAGCCAGTCCTTCTTAACCCCAGCCTGATTTGCTAAGGACATCTGGGTCACCATTGTCCTCACAATGGCAATGTCACTGCCCAGCATCCTAGTTCCTTGGAGTAGTCTGATTTTGGTGCCTGTAGTACTCAAGTCTACTTGTGAAAAGTATCAAAAGTCTGGCCAAGTTATGGAAAAATTTTGACTGCAAAAATTGTGCCCAGCATGCCCCTCAGCCTTACAGGCCCAGGGGCTCAGCCATGTGATCACATTGGCTTCCCGGTGGCTCTTCGGTGTTCCTGCATGGCCATTCCTCTTCACAGCTCTTCTCCTTGATCCACACTTATCCTTGACTCTGAGCCTTTCTGACTGGATCACGAGCAGGGATGGTCATGTATTTTTCCCGCTCTACCCCTTACATGGGAGATGTGGGCAGAAGCTTAGGGATGGGTGTTCATGTGAGTCTCCAATGGATTGTCTCACTGGTAGTGTTTCTATGTGTTTGAAGAAAATGAGAGAGGGTAGAAGACAGCAAATCCATTATGGCCAGTCCAAGTCTTCTGCACCAATATAGTTTTAGACTTGCATCCGACTATGAGTGTGAATCATAGTTGAAATCCAATACTGTTCACTATGTAGTGAGGGAAATTCTGTAACTCGGGACTCAAAGCATGATTGTCTGCAATTCTGTCCAGTACTGAGGTCACAGGAATGAAGTCTGGGAGAAGCACCCTCAGACCAGGAGAGGGGCCACAAGAGAAGCTGGTTGAAAAGAAGAGCAATGATGTCTTCCCTTCATGTTTTGCAAGTTGAGCTTCCTATGATCACCCTTAGAGCACTGGGACTTGTCAACTACTGCTGTCCCTGGGGACTTTGGTAGGGCATTTCCTGGCTTTCGTTGTGTCCACACAGAGCCAAGCAACCTGTTGATATGCTTACATAGTGTCATACTCATTACTGTGTGGTCAGAGATGCTCCCTTGTTGATGAAAAGTGGGGTCTTGTGTACCTGCACATCCAGGACAGAGATGTGTCCAATACTAAGTGTTGATGTGTCTGAAGTCTCCAAGATGTGCTTTGTAATTATTGATATTGATCTAAAAATCTTTTTCTTCCTTCTTTCCTTTCTTTTGATAGGGTCTCACCTTATAGCTAAGGCCGGCATTGAACTCTCCACTCTTCTGGCTCAGCCTTCCAAATGCTGGGATTACTGAAATGTACCACTGTATCTAGTGCAAAGATCTTAAAATAGAGTGATTCATAGTAATGTGCCTCCCCTAACATTGTCAAAATTCTAATCATATTAAGAATATGGAATACATATTTATGAAGTGATTTCCTTGAATAAAAATCCCTGTGTGGATTAAAGATTAATTTAGCTGCCCTGCAGACATTTGTGTCATTTATATCAATCTACTTCCTGGTTGCAATTTATTTTTGGTAAGTGTTTTCCACAGATACTGTGCACTGTTGGCTAAATCTCACTAGTGATGGCTCCCTCTATCAATATTCGTTTTATATGATTTTCTCCAAAATGCTAATAATAAAAAGCAGATTAGCATATATGTTGTTTACTATAAAGGATTTTCTAGTCATGATAGACTAGACCACAAGGGTATTACATCTGATTAAAAATGAGTATTTATCATATTATGGAATGTGTGCATAGGAGGAGAAAGTTGGGTAAGGGTGATGAACATACAGACACATACATATGTGTACGCTTGAAATTTTTTATTATGAGTACATACTACTTTTAACTAAGGGTAAGATAAAACTGAAACATGAACCTTGCTTTTGACACAAAAATTCTAGTTGAGAACTTGAGTCTCACTGATTTAACCTATTGTACACCCATGTGTTTCAGGGTCACCTGGTTGACCAGGTAACCATTACAGTGGATCTGACTCAGGCTAAGTCTACCTGGTGACCAACTCCTTCCTTCAGCCATCACCTCTCAGGTGGAGTTGCTGCCAGTGGTTCTGACCAGGTGGATCTGGAACAGTCACAAGGCCTGCTGCCATACAGGAGAGCCATCACTTGGCCACACAATCAGCACATTTGTAATTCTTACTTGGTCTTGTTTCTTATGTGCATTTTGTAGATAGCCTGGTGGACTCAACAGGTCATATCCTGATCCCTGGAATCTATGACCAAGTGGCTCCTCTTACAGAGGAGGAAAAAAAAACATACGAAACCATTGATCTGGACCTAGAAGAATATCAAAACAGTAGCCAAGTTGAGAAATTTCTGTATGGTACCAAGGTATGGCCACAAGCTGATGTATAATCTGAAAGAGGAATGATGAAAATGAATGTTTTCTCAATGTCTAATCAGTGCCTGATGTGCTAATCCATACTTCTTAGAACCAAAGCACATCGTAATGCCTAGGCAGATTTAGACTTTCACAGCCACTTTCCTGTGGTCTAGAGAAATCAGTCCTGTTTTGGGGTCCAGTTGGCACTGGGTCCAGGCACCTAACCATGAGCAATGACTCACTTTGTAGCCATTGCCTTCCAAAAGCAGTTTATTAACTTAAATCCCATGCCAGCCCTCAGCCAATGAGCCAGACTTTTTAACTTCATAGGTTAAGAAGAGTGAGAATGTTTCAGAATGCCCCAAGAATTTCCCAGACAGAATCAAGAGCCTTAGGGACTAATCTGTAAGTGAATACATCCAGAGGTCTAGTGTCTGTTCCTGGCAAATTTAGCCTTCTTTTCATTTCTTTCTCCTTTTTTTTGGTACTGGAGTTTGAACTCAGGACCATGAACTTGCTAGGCAGACACTCTACCACTTAAGCCAGGTCGACCCCTCCCTTCTTTTCCCTATAGTTATTTTTCAAATAGGGTCGTACTTTTATGCCTAGGCCAGCTGGATCACTATCCTGTGATCTGTCTCCTGAATAGCTAGGATTACAAGCATGAGCCACCATGCCTGGCCCCTTTTCCTTTTAAAATGCTTGCCTACTAGATGGTGGGGGGAGTGCAGAGGACTGCTGACTCCTGAGGAAACTACCAAGAGAAGGCAAAGTCACGCTGAAAAGAAGTAGGAGTATTTATTGTTGAGGCACATTTCTTCCCTCAGGATATGAAGCCACAACAAGAAAGAAAAGTGGTTCGAAGGCCCGAAGAGCTCTTTGATGTACAAGTTATCAACGCAATCAATGATCATGGATAGAAATTTATGATTAAACTCAATTTCTGAATCAGCCCCTTTGCCAATCAATTAACTCCAAACTACAGAGCCTGGGCAGAGAGGGGCGTAGGCAGCAACAATGTGGCCAGATGAAGGATGTAGAGGAGGAGAAGCCTTATGTCCTGAGGGAAATGTCCACCTGATCTGTGGTCCAGAGGCAGCCAAACTAGGTGCTAATTAACTTATCAGTAGTGGGTCTCAGAGGCACAGATGTTGGTAGATACATGCAATATAATTCACCTGGATTTTAATTGGATGTTCTGTGGATGGTTTTGTTTTAATTTAGGAGGAAATTCTGATGCACCTATGGAGGTACCCATCTCTCTCTATCCACGGAATTGAAGGTGCCTTTGATAAGCCTGGAACTAAGACAGTCATCCCTGGCCGGGTTGTAGGAAAATTTTCAATCCGTCTAGTTCCTCACATGAATGTGTCTGTGGTAGAAAAACAGGTAACAAGTGTCCCTTGTCCCTCTGCCCAGCAGCACCATTTCCAAGTCCTGCACACCACAGTGTAGTAATTCAGGTGTCACAAGTGAAGTGTCATCTTTTCTGACACAAAAGAATGGGAACAAATGTCAAGGAACCAGTATCATTCTTGCTCAGTAAAAACCTCTTTCCTCAATTATATGCAATTACAGCAGTCAGATAAGTAACCATTTGGAGTGGCAGCAATGGGAAATTTTTAAAAATTAAATGGTAGCTGTAAAGGCAAGATTGGTTTTACACCTAGATGGAGTAGGTAACTGCCTACATACGCTTGGATGGAGCCAGGAAATCTCCATCCCAGTCATTATGTTTTTCCTGATGTCTGACATCAACACTTTGAAAGCAGCCATTTTAACGAAAATATATCTGGAAGGAGTTATATGTCTAAATTATCAACCCATCATCAATTTACCTCAAGGTAGTTTAACGAAAGTAGACTCTTAAATTTAAGTGAGCCAAAGAAATATCTCATCCCAATCTTCAGTCTCTCTCAATTCCATTATCTGCTTTCCTTGACTTGTTACACTAATTACATTCTAAAACAAAGGCTCCTCTCCTTCCCTTCCCCTCCTCATTTCCTACCTTTTGGATGCATTAAGCCTTTCTCACAACACACACATTCCTCAAGGGCAGGACCTTCTTTGTCTCACAGCTATATCCCCAGCACCTAGAACAGTTCCTGGCCCATGACAGGTAATAAAGGAAGGAACGAATAGAAGGAATGTTTTGTAGGATGGAGTTTCCCTTGGGAGGATTTCCACAGAAGCCACTGGAAAGGGAAAGAAATGGTTTCTGAAATGTCTCCTTCACAATTTTGCTTAAAATTACTCCACTTTTCAGAAGGTTTCCAAGATATTCATTAGGGTACTAATAAAACCCCAAACCAGGACATTTCAATTGAGAAGTTGTGCTTGTATTGTGTTTCATCATTTTCAGCAAACACCACTATGTATAAGACACTGGGATAAGAACATGGTGGTGGCAAGATGGGATTTGCAGGTATGGGTAAAAGGGGAATGAGAGCAAGTGTTTGCTGCTGGGTGAATCCAAGGTGCCTTCTGGCAGAACTCAGGGGAAATCACAGCATTCTAATTTGTCAGTTTGGGATTTCCTTCCCTTCCTCCCTTTTCTGTACTAGAGATTGAATCCAGGGCCTTACACTTGCTAGGCAAGCAAGGGGGGGGTACATCTTAAGCTACATGTACCCCCAGGTCAATTGACTTGAGGAAAGACTATACTCACTGAAAGCACAGGTTGAAATTCTTTTTTATTATTGATAATGCCACCTTCTAGGTGAAGCAGCATCTTGAAGCTGTATTCTCCAAAAGAAATAGTTCCAACCAGATGTCTGTCTCCTTGGCACTAGGACTTCAGCCATGGATTACAAATATCAATGATAATCAATATCTTGCAGCAAAAGCAGCCATCAAAACAGGTAGGCCCCTAAGATAGCCATAGACCCATCCTCACATGCATTTGAGTCTTTAGTTTATACTTGGGGTGTGGTCCAGTGCTTCCCAAGCCCACAGTTGCGATGGGACCAATGGGTGGAGCATGTGAGACAGTGGATCAACAGACATTTAAAAAATACAAATACCAACTCTGCTCTTTCTCTAGGGCATATGATTGCATGTATACCATATGCAAGGCATTTTGTATTATCTCATGTAGTCCTCCCAACAGCACCCCCCCCCATTTCACAAAAGAAATTAAGGCTTCCAAGGGTGGAGCAATTTGCTGAAGAGCACGCAGCTGACAAGTGGCAAACCAGGGTTCAAATTCAAGTCTGGAGACCTGAGCTTTGGAGAAAATGATGGACTAGAAAACTTTAAACCCTTAAGATGCAAAATTTATGAAAATATTGGCCAAAATATGAAAAAGAATCCTTTCAAGGCACAGTTTAGATTGTATGAAAATAAGGGAGATCTGTTAGGGTTAAAAATAAAGGAGAAGCTGAAATCTAAGGGAATAAACAAGCAGACACTGGCAGACCTGTGGGCACCTGCTCTTGCTGGTCACAAAGAAGATGGAGCTGTAATGGCTTCAGGCCAGCATGCAGCAGAGGGTTGAAAATGAGATCCACTGCCCTACTGCTTAACACACTCTCTAGGCTTGCTTGTGCTTGGATGAATTTTTAGCCATAGACCCATCCTCACATGCATTTGAGTCTTTAGTTTATACTTGGGGTGTGGTCCAGTGCTTCCCAAGCCCACAGTTGAACTGCATGGCTGAGGCAAACACCAAACTGCCCTGAAGGGCCTCGGCCCCAAGTCAGGCCGTGTGAGACTTCCACAGATGGGCTTCCTATAGATGAGACTGCTGTATAAAAATTACAAAACACATGAGAAGCCCAGTGCCAGTCTGACTGTCCCTAACACCAACCATCTTTTCATAAAGGCCCATTGCTTCTTCAGAGGTGACAGTTTGGTTTGGAATGTCCTTGGTGGTGGCCAGTTTTAATTCCATGTACTTCCAAGACCTGTGATGGACTGAGCAGTGAGCATGTGCTTGGATGCTGGTTGCTGGAGCAGGGAGAAGGAACATGCCGTCTCTGGCTTTGCGGCAAGAGGGATACCGCCAATGTTAGCGAAATAGGAGCTGCCCAGACTCAGGAAGTTTTGGCACATCTCCAAAAGCTAGGCAGTACACGTTTATGCAGAACCACAGTGTTGTTACAGAGCAGGCTGAAGGTCACACTGCCGATAACAGCATAGCTGGGTTTGGAAGCCCAGACCTCCATGAAGCACCAACTCTACTAGTTAGCAGTTTAAGGGACACAAATCCCAAAATTTGGAGAACAGGTCCAAGTCTTAGTGCCATATTTCTCTACATTGTCATTCCTACTGCCCCAATTTAAGCAGTTATCATCTCAGTAAAGTTTGTGAGGAAGGAAAAAGAGTTAGAAAGGCAAATGTAATGCCTGCTGAGGAGAGATGTGTTCTTGAAGTGTCAGTTAAAGACCCATGAAGAGGTCTGAAACACTCTGGCTGGAACGCATGATTCTATTTGGTTTGTTTGTGTGAACCAGTTCTGCAACTTTATTTGTACTCACACCTTGCTTTATGAATAAAGGGGAGATGGTGTGTTCTCTTTTATTTCGTTGTTTTACTTTCATTCCCAGTCCCTCACTGGCAACTTGTCCTCTGAGGGAGAGAAACTAGAGCGTAGGAGAGCAGCTGAAACTACTTTGAGAAACCTTGAAAACTAAGGGGAACATGGTGACACTAGTGTGATAGTTGAGGACAGCTGTCTATTTGTATATTTGTTACAAAAAAGTTCTGCTTCCATAGTATTTAATTCATGAAGAAACCATGAAAGTAAGCACAACATTTTGTTTTGCCAAAAATGCATGATCTCTTCCAATCACAACAAAATTATCAGACCAGCCTGAGATAGGGGACACGCTACAAGTCAACTCATTTTTACTATTTTTTTCTTTCCTTTCTCTGTGCAGGGGACTGACCCTGACTGAATTCAAATGCTAGGCCAGCACTCTGCCACTTGAGTCACACCTCCCAGCCCTGATTGGTATTTTTTGAGATGGTCAAGTTCACAAAAGACAAGTACTGAGAAACTGTCACGCACTAGAAGAGACTGAGAAGCAGTAATAAAAGGCAGGGTGGGGTTCTAGATCGGATCCTGGATTAAAAAAATGGAAAGATGGGTAAAATTGTATTACAGTCCGGGGTGTAGTTAATAACATGTACCAAAGTTACTCTCTGACTCTTGATTACCTAATGTTCTATAAGACGTTAACACTGGGGAAAGCAGAGTTGGGTAAATATGCAAATTAGTTTTGCAAATTTTCTAATCCTAAATTTCTCTAAGTTTAGTTCATCTAAAATTTTTTTTATTAAAAAACTTCAGGTAATTGTGAGGAGGACACCCACCGACTATACACTATACTGTCCAGGTTAGACTATAATTATGATATCAAGAAGCTTACTTACTCCTGCCACCAATCTAATGGTAAAAAAGGAAAGGAGAAAGGAAAACAGAAGCACTACATTCGAGATCAGTGAGAGGTAGTCTTGTCATTATTCTTCCAGTGCCTTCTTTTTCCCGTGTTTCAGTGTTTGGAATAGAACCTGATATGATCCAGGATGGATCTACCATTCCAATTGCCAGAATCTTCCAGGACATCATCCAAAAGAGTGTGATGATGCTCCCTTTGGGGGCTGTCGATGATGGAGAACACTCTCAGAATGAGAAGATCAACAGGTCAGTTGGCCCCTATGCAAGGGAGGAGGGGCTCCATGTGGGCCTGTCCATTCACCTTTCCCAACTGACATTTCTTTTATCACTATTTTGGAGGCTGGGAAGTCTGACTGATTAGGTTCTTGGTGAGGCTCTCTTTCCGGTTCAGACTACCGCATTCTCTTTGTGTTCTCACCTGGTAGAGCTCAGGCTGGGGCAAGGGAAGAGGAAGTACCAATCCAGCATGCAAGTGAAAGCTCTGGGGTCTCTTCCTCTCCTCTAAGGGCATCAGCCCTATGGCATTAAGGCGCATCCTTCTAGACTCATTTAACCCTTATTGCCTTCTCAAATGCCCTGACTCCAAATATAGTCATGTTGGGGGTTAGGGCTTCAACATATGAATTTTGCGGAACATGACATTTAGTCCATAACAAAGGATATTTACAATGATTGATACATACATTATTGGCAGATTATACAAGTCTCCTAAGCCTCCCAGACTAGTTAGAAATAAGAACATGTTTGACTCCAATATCTGTCATGTCAATGATAACAAACCAAGAAAAAAAATGGACTTTTTCGGATTTGAGCCCAGGGCTGACTCACATCATCTTAATAATGCCATTTTCATGTTGGATTTACCAAGTGACTTTCATTTCAAGTGTGTTACATACTTTACATTGAATTTATAATCTCAAATCTTCCCACCCAAATTCAAATTTTCATTTGAATGAAAATTGTAGCAGAGTTTCTCTTTGTTTTTCCTTTTGTTAGGTGGAACTACATAGAGGGGTCCAAGTTATTTGCTGCCTTTTTCTTGGAGTTGGCGAAGCTGCATGAATGATAATAAAAAGGTGTTTGATCTGACCCTGTTCCTGCTCCGATAGGGATGGAATCTGAATACCCAGAGAACACTGATCTAGTAAAGACCTTTCCCATCCCATTTAAGGGTCTTAGTCAAGCCCCAGTACTATTAAAAAAAGGGGGGGGTGTCTTAGGATGTTTGGACCAATAATAAAATACTTTAAAGGCAGATATGGGAAATGGTTTTGTTATCAGGGTTTGGAGTATTCCAGCTGTTCCTCGGTTCTTGGGTACACATCTAAGGTGAGGACACTGTCCCCCCAAGTGCAGCAAAAGAACCACAAACAGTAGGAACTCAGGAGTTAGTGATTTATTAGCAAAGTGGAAGTACACCTCAAGGGGTGAGGTGGGTGGTTTGGTAAGGACCAACCATGTGGAAGCTGTCAGAGCTTGGGGTTTTATCCAATAGGATAGGGTTGTTAGGTGATGGAAATCAGAGTCACAGCCCCAAACGGTTTGGCCACTGTGCAGAGGCTGCCCAGGAGTGGGATGGCATATGCCTGCATACTTGATGCTCTTTGCCTTTCCCAGTTTAATCTTGATATGGAGAGTGGGTTCCATAAGGGCTATTATCTTAACCTTTAGCCTAGCCAGTCTGGTAGTCTAGGGTGTTTCCTCATGACTGTTTATGTCTACTTAGTGGCCAACCACAGTTCAACATTCCCTACAGCTCACTTTCCTAAAGTCATAGCTACTTTCACCCTGATTGTCCCAAGTCCTGTGCAATAGCTTTAGACTGGGCTCAAGACAACCTTTGAGCATATGTGGGATAATTCTTGAGTTACTTAGACTCTTACTGTAATTCCATTGGCATAATCCCTCCAGTTTGCTTTCTGGATCCTGAAGTGCCCATGAGGATGGATGTCAGTACTTAATCACCTTTGCTTCTGCTACATCTTCCTCTTAAGAAAAAATATTGGTCTCCACTACTGACTACAATGATTTCCTTGGGGGTTTATTTTTAGAGGAGTTACCAAGGCATGGTACTGTTTAACTTCTTGTTTCCACTTTATTTTCTCCTGCTTCTTGAAAAGTTCTGCAGTTGAAGTGATTATTATTCATACTCTCATACCATTGGTGATTCCTGGTACAAAGATGAGTAGAGGGGGCGCCGTTTCTTGCGCTCCCTCCCTGGCTGGAGCGAGCTTTCTCTCTCACTCCTTGGTTATTACTGGACCTAACTGGGCTTAACTGGGGGGTGACTGGAGATTCTGAAAAGACACAGGATAGACAGACAGAAATTTAGGGTCAGGTGTGTTGTACCCTCGACTGGGGACGCACAACCCTCATTGCTTCTTTTTCTCTATCTTTATTCTTTAAGGCCTTGCTCCTTGCAGTTCTTTCAAATCTTGCTTCAAACATCTTTCCTTAGGCTCGCACTGTCCCATGTTTGCTCTCAGCTTCTCTTTAGCTTAATAGCTCTTAAAGTCTTTTGCCCCTGGGCTTGCACTGTCCCATCTCTCTTTAGCTCTCTTAAAGCCTCAGTGCTCAAACTTGCAAACAGCCACACTTACACCTGCATATGCATAACTCTTAAAGTCTCCATCCTTAGACTTGCACTGTGCACACTGTCCCATGTTCTCTTTGGTTTTTCTTTAGATTTAGCTTTCCTAAGGCCTATGTATGAAACTTTTTCAGCTTTGCTTTCTGAAGCCTATGTTAAAGTTCTCCGTGCAGACTTTCTAACAACCCTTCTTTAGCATTTTCCCTTCAACAATTCTTTTCCCTTCCAAAAGCTTCATACACTAAAAGACAGAAAGTAAAAGCTTCTTCCTAATATTCAAAGACAAAACCCCCAAAGCAAAAAGCCAAGCAAAAAGCCCAAAATAAAGCCCCAAAAGGCAAAAGCCCCTTTTCCTCCTTCAGGGGTCTCTTATAGCAGCAAACAGGGTGCAGCCACAGGGAGGGGTGTGACATTGCAACAGGAGAAATCTGTGTTCCTGCTTCTCTGAACACAATTTAGGAGACGCAGCTGTTCTGCCTTTCCCTGTTTCATGGCAGGGGTTGTGCCTATCTCAGCCTGCAGGTAAAAGCAATTAACTGCATCTCGCCTTGCTTGTGTCCAGTTTTCATAGGCTTTAATCTGCTCACCACAGATGAGGTTTGTTTTTTTTTTAATTTCAAAGTTCTTTACCTTTGGTATGACTGATGCCACCTGATCAGCTCAGTAAAATCCTCCACCCTCTCTTGCACTCCCACATGCATGTAAATCCACCATAGCAGAATTTATCCTGATAGAACTTCTCTCACTCCATTGGAATTTTACTCAGTGACTACATCGAAATTGCTCAAAGCTTTTAATAGCATCAGTTTTATAGAGAACTAATCAACCCTGGCACTGGTATCACATTCTAAATTTAAAGCCATCAGTTAATGCTGCATTGATTAATCATTTTAGTTAACAATCTTGTTTGGCTTGATTGGGTTCGATGTTATAAACACAAAAAAGAATGTAATTTATCTACAGTCAAGTGTATGTAAATAAATCAGTTCAATCTATAAATTCATTATTTAAATCACACTAATGGAGATGAATTTAAGGGTTTATCAAATGGTTTCTCTTATGATTGCAAATGAAAACAAAGTTTAACGAATTTGCCTTCAACTTTTTTCCATCTCTCTGTTAGTTCTTGAAATGCCAGCTTTCAGACTTGTTAAATCACATTAAAAATGATTGGATCATGAAGTCAGTGATTCAGTTTATCCTTATCTAGTCACAGGAATGGGACCCAACTAATGAATCGGCAATATGGGGAAATTAATCAAAGATTCCATTTAGTGTTTGCTTTGGAGGCAAGAAACTTCAAACCACCATGCCAGTTCTGATGCTCGAGTACCAAGTGCTGTTGTTGAATATTGCCAGGTGTCTGGTATTCTGGGCTATTCAGCACAGCCTATGCTTGCGGGGGACTATGCTGGATTTTGAAGTATTTTTAGATTCTGTTGGTGCTACCTGATGTACTTTGGATTGTTCCCAAAGAATAACAGAGCAAGAGCTTTCTGATGCCAGTTCGTGTTTTGCAAAGCATTTGCATTAGTTGTTACCAAAAGATTATTATAAAATATATTGCAAGCATTTCTGGGCAGGGTAGTATCAGTTTTATGAAGTCATTAAACAATTGTATGTATTTCCTTATTTCCATTCCTGTAGAAACTGAGAGCAGCAGTGCCACAGTTAATTATTCAACTACAGGAAAAGGAGAGGAGGAGGAGGAATAGTTGGTAAGTGTGTTTGGCCTAGGAGATTACAATCCTGCAGGGTCAGAGTCCAGAGTTCATGTTTTGCTGCCAACCAGGATCAGGATGGGTATCCCCAGATCTTCCCTCCAGGGCTTGCTACCCAACTCCAAGCCATGTGGCTAACCCACTCCTCCTGCAACATGGGAGACAGAAAGGAAGTATCAGCCAAGCTCATTACGTTCAGAGGGATAAGAGAAATGTCCCTAGTTATTGGTCATATCAATTAGCCAGCTACAAGAAAGCAAAAAAGTTGGGGGATATATCAAACCAATATATGCCCATGGGTTAAATGATCACCCAGCATACGTGTGGGTATGTTGTGTTATGCTGATCAGGTAGGGACTTTGTTGTATTGGAGACAATGTGTGGCTTAGCAGATAAAGTGTGCTAATGTATCATTATTGTGATGAAGCTTGGGGGTTATGAATACCAACTGGGTATTGTACATGATTTTGTAGAAAATAATGATGGCTGGGGACATTTTTGGTTTTATGTTGTATTCATAAAAATAATGTACTGGCCTGGAAACCTTGCGTGTCTGGTAGACAGTGTGAGGTCCCTGGTCTTTGACACCATTTCAGGGTACTTGAGCTGGGTGGCGGGAGTGAATCAGCAACACACAGAAGACTTGCTCCAACCCTATTGTTCTAGACACTTATTTGGGACACATCAATCACTCCCATGACCTCTGTATCAGCTGAGTGCCCACACGGTCCCCTCTTCTTAGAAACAGCCCCACTGGTTCTTCTGTCTATTTCATATCTGAAACAGTGTTCATCTAAAATGGAAACCTGCCCCCCCATGCCTGTGTCTACTCTGGAATTCCCCACCATGGTACTGGACCATGAGCCAGTTGATGGCAGAGCCCTGAATCCTCTCTCTTTCAAATCCAACTCGTATCAAGACCAGTTGATTCATTTCTCAAAAGCCATCACTTCCTTCTGTTTGCACTGTCACCTCTCATAGCCCATAAGCCTTTGCTGGGTTTCTGTCAAGGTCCTAACTGATCTTTGCTTATACCTCAGACCTCTTGTCATGCTGCAGCCAAGGCTTTTCCCAATCAGTGTAAAATCCTAGAGTGGCTGTGAGGTCTTAGGATGAAATCTGACATCACAAGGGATTCTGCAAGTCCTGCACAAGCTGTGGTTGGCCTACTTTTCCAGCCTCACTCTTCCTTCCTGGGTGTGCCCACACAGCCCCATCCTTCTAATCTTCTTGGTTTCTCAACAACCAAGAGCAACCTCAAAACCTTCTCGAATCCCTTCTTCCTCCTGGAACACAGTTTCTTAGGCTGGTTAATATCTCCCTCCTCCATCCTATATGGATCTCAGCTTAGTTGTAATTTTCAGGGAAACCTTTTCTGATTCTCCCCAAAGTATTGTATAAATATATATTCCTATTACACTATCATAGTCTCTTCAGTTTCTCTGTGGCATTTTGTTGTGGGATTGAGAGTTCTCATTGCTTCAGCTTGTATCTGGGGGTTCTCACCCAACAAAGCCTGATATCTGGCCACTCATTCCTCGGTCATCCATCGACTGGCAGTGCCGTTGAGCAGAGAAGTTGTTTGGTTATCCAGAGCGTGATGCATCGTCCCAGAGTCAGTTTATCTGCTTCTTGTATTAAGATCACTGTTGCCAATGCCCAGAGGCATGGGGCCAACCTGAGGCCATGGGGTCTAATTTCTTGGACAGGTAGGCTACTGGCTGGCTCCATGGCCCCAGTGGCTGGGTCAGGACA